AGACATGGTTTGAAGATAAACTGGAAGCAAAGTAGATCCCTATATGAGCTAAAGCCACACATCTCACACATCTGGTGTTTCTTTGAAGGTGATTGACCGAGGTATTGAATTGTCACTTTTCATGGACAGACAGCTGGGTGAATTTGGACTCTAGAAGCAGAATTTGGGCACCAACAACCCACTTAACCTCTCTGCATTAAACTGAGGTACACCTCACATGAAAGGAGGACAGAAAACAAGGTAAACCAGAACTGAAGTACATTGGATCACACGTGTCTTGTTGGTCTTCGAAGTTGATTATCAAAGGCATTGAATCGTCACTTTTCATGGACAGACAGCTGGGCACAGGTGACATGGCTCTCTCCTGCTGTATCCTGTAAGGAGAGCATGAAGAGAGATCGAGTTAACCTACAATAAGGAAATTAAATTAACTTCCTGTGAAGACATACCATTTCAAAATAAAGTGGAAGTGTTGAACCAATAGAAAAAAAAAAAACCTTGGATGAAACTTCTCTGGTCTTTCTTTGAAGGTGATTGACCGAGGTATTGAGTCCTCACTCTTCATGGACAGACAGCTGGGTGAGTCTGCTCTCTTAATTTGGACCCTAGAATCAGAATGTGGACACAAACAATCCACTTAACCTCTCCGCATTAAACTGAGGTACACCTCACATGAAAGGAGGACAGAAAACAAGGTAAACCAGAACTGAAGTACATTGGATCACATGTCTCTGGTTGGTCTTCGAAGTTGATTATCAAAGGCATTGAATTGTCACTTTTCATGGACAGACAGCTGTGCACAGGTGACAAGGTTCTCTCCTGCTGTACCCTGTAATGAGAGCATGAAGAGAAATTGAGTTAATTTCATTTCCTTATTGTAGGTTAACTTCCTGTGAAGACATACCATTTCAAAATAAAGTGGAAGTGTTGTACCAATAAAAAAGAAAAAAACCTTGGATGAAACTTCTCTTGTCTGTCTTTGAAGGTGACTGACCGAGGTATTGAGTCCTCACTCTTCATGGACAGACAGCTGGGTGAGTCTGCGCTCTTAATTTGGACCCTAGAATTAAATTGTGGACACAAACAATCCACTTAACCTCTCCGCATTAAACTGAGGTACACCTCACATGAAAGGAGGATATGACATGAGAGCACAACTTTAAATATCCATCCATCGTCCAACCTGCTTATCCTACTGGGTTGTGGGGGGTCTGGAACCTATCCTGGAAGCAATGGGCATGAGGCAGGGAACAACCCTGGATGAGGGACCAGCCCATCACAGGGCAGAGTCACACACCATTCACTCACACAAGCACACCTATGGGCAATTCAGCAACTCCAATAAGCTTCAGCATGTCTTTGGACTGTGGGAGGAAACTGGAGTACCCTGAGGAAACCCCATGACGACATGGGGAGAACATGCAAACTCCACACACGTGACCCAGCTGGAGACTTGAACCCAGGTCCCAGAGGTGTGAGGCAACAGTGCTAACCACTGCACCACCATGCCGCCCCAACATTAAATATATGGATGGAAATTACAATGGACATTTACAAAATGGAGAGGATAACAGCATTTAATAACCATAAATTAGAGCAATTTGTTTCACACTGGGAAAAATGGATTAACTATGTAGTCCCCCATAGACCTGATTTTATTTTTACAAATGAATGATTAAGTTGTAAGGAAAAGGTCACTCCCTATCTGTTAATAGTTTTCTGCTTTGTTCTTTGTTCTACATACTTGTACTGCTGATAAAGAATTTGTTAATTGATTAGTATAATAAAAGTCTAACATATGATGCATACAACATTTGACAGATATGTCTGGGAAATGTTTATCATATGCTGAATAGTAGTAAAAAAGATAAAAAATGAAAGGAGGACAGGAAACAAGGTAAACCAGAACTGAAGTACATTTGATCACATGTCTCTTGTTGGTCTTCGAAGTTGATTTTCAAAGGCATTGAATTGTCACTTTTCATGGACAGACAGCTGGGCACAGGTGACACGGCTCTCTTCAGCTGGACCCTGTAATGAGAACATAGCAAAAGACTGGTATTCCAGTTTTAACAAGAAGATTAAGCTAAGAATAATGTAAGCTTCTGTTACAATGCATTAAATATACAGTAAATTAATTAGAGCAGGGTTCACCAGCTGCAGTTTGCAGATTTGCTCAAACACATCCTAAATCAGCTAATTGCCAAGTTCTGTAGATGTGTTTCAACATAGAAATCTGCAAACTGTGTTGGATTCTGCCCTCCAGGACCGGAACTGTGAAACCCTGCTATACAGAACAGCAGAGTCAAAATGCTTAAAATTTACTTATTGCGTCTCAAGATTTAATTGTCTGCTAATTCATAACACTGGCCAGAGATGTGTAACACACTACGATGGTTCACTCTCACCTCTCAGGGCTCGTCTCCTCAGTGGCCTCCACAGAGCTCATGACTGACTCGGCTCCTTCTTCCTCATGTGCCTCAGAAAGACTCCTCCCAGAGGCGGCGGCCTCCTCCTCCTCCTCCTCATCCCCAGAGACTCCTTACAGGGGCAGCAGTGTGTTCACCATGCTGCAGGGTGTGAGTCTCGCATGAGCCTCTGAAGACACCACGGCACACGGGAAAGTGGAGCTATGTCCGGCACTGTATGCATCTCTAACAGACTTCCATTCACATATTGGCCAGGGATTCCAGGAGTTGGTAATGCATGTTATATGTTAAATGTTATAGAAATACATTATCTAAAAATTCAGCTGCAGTGCTTTCGTCCCACGTACAGTGCACTGCTTAATGTACTTGACATGAGTGTCTTATTTTGTTTTAGACATACTACATCATTTTTTCATCCTTTAGCTCAATGAATAGGCTATTTAGGCAAATATTAATACAAATCTATAGGATTACCAGATCTGAAAATGCAGGATGTGTGCACTCTCACAGACAGTGCACTGCAAAAATCACATTTTACTTGATCTGTCTGCATTATTTACTTTTCGGGCCCTAAGTACTTCACACTGCATTATCCTCTGTATTCTAACCGCTGTTCCACATCATACTTCCCACTGCTATATATCACTTTACTGCCCCATGCTGAAAACTGCATTGTGTGTTAGATATCTCCTAGTAGAAGGTATTTCTTAATTAGGCTGTATGACATTGGAAAATATCAATTTCTGCAATAAATATTGCAGTATTTTTAAAGAAAAAAATAGTTCAAAATGAATCAATTTCCCACAAACACGTATATTCATCAGTAATTTAAACCTCTGGGGATGAAAATGATTGCGTGAAGAGCGCTTGCAGAGCTCATGCAAAAGTAGCGGCCGTACCCTTTAATTTAAACTAATGTTAAACATACAGTAGATAATTCTGAAAAGGAGCAGTCATTAAAATTGCACAGCTTGCTAAATTTTCACCCGAATATAAGGCGACATCACTTATTCAGAGTAGTTTGAGGAAAAAAATACCCGTCTTATATTCGGGTCAACGCGGTAATGCATTTATTGCTTGCACTGTCCGTCTTAATAAGTAGGCTATGTATGGAAACAGAATATAGATGTATGATTCTTAATAAATATGTACAGAAATCCAAGGGGTGTGCATTGTGCCCCCCATAAGCTACTGCTCAAAGCACACTAATGGACGTGTTGGTCTCATTTACTTTTAGTTATCCGATCATTTATTTATTGTCCAATTGCACATTTAATGAACACAGTGTAATTAACAAAGATGGGTACTAACGTAATCTAAGAAAAAAAGTCTCGTTACAGCTGAAGTCGTAGCTATTAACAAGATTTTACACACCTATGGAAACGCAATAATAGGTGTATGTGTGTTGCTTTATGGTTTAAGTGGTGATCCTGTTAACTGGTGACAAGCGTATACGCACTATTGTGCGCACCAGTATAAAACGAACGCAATAGTTATTGTTGCAGAAGGCGGAGGCAGATCCGTCAAGTTTGGAGAGCCAATTAAGTAACGACATACACCAATGGAGGAAATGACTTATCGCGCATGTTTGTAAAAGGACAAACATGCATACATGCAGTTATAATGTAGCATCCTATAAATATAAAATTGAATCTCTTATGAAAAGAGCCTGCTCTTCTAATATTATATTTTACGCAACTTGAAGTGTGTGCATGGTCAATTCTGATTATTTACAATTTTATTTCACTTTTCCAAAACTGACGAATCGGCCATCACACATCTCCTTAAGATATATATAGATAGGCGCGAATATACCACATAAGCCACGACACTGTATACTGCACATCAAAAGTCTATAGTTAAAAACCGCCTGGCTTGCTTTTGTTAAAAGAAATTACAGCCGGAAAACAGAATGTCGAATATAACCACAGCTTTTCCATTACAGTAATCTTACCTTAATACTTGTGCGGTTCACGGCATTTCTTACGCCCTATATGCTTATTACGTACTTTCGTTTTCTTTTCAATATATTGTCCTTTTTAAGAAATTTGCGCGGTTTTGGTCATTATAGTACAAAATCAGCCCAAACGCGAAGTGATTTACCTA